TTCACGTGCAGGCCCTTTAAGAGGAATAGCTGGGTCACCAGCAGCCTCCTTGTCACTGAGCCCCAATCCCTGCTGGTTTTTAAAGCCCATAGTTAAGGAGACTTCTTTCCAGCTCTGGGAGCCTGGTGTAGGATGGGACCCCTTGCTCCTCACAGGCAGCCTTCACAGAGACTATTCCTCTAGATAAAAAATGTAGCCCACACATGCCTGGCCAGTGTGGCTCAGTGGTTGAGCATGGACCTATGAACTAGGACAGTGGTCAGCAAACCACGGCTCGTGAGCCACATGCGGCTCTTTAGCCCCTTGAGTGTGGCTCTTCCACAAAATACCAGGTGCGGGCGTGCACGTACAGTGCAACTGAAACTTCGTGGCCCATGTGCAGAAGTTGGTACTTTGTGGAAGAGCCACACTCAAGGGGCCAAAGAGCCTCATGTGCCTCGCGAGCTGCAGTTTGCTGAGGCCCACTTTGCCAACCACTGAACTAGGTCACATGCCTGGGCTGCGGGCTTGATCCCCAGTTGGGGCATGCAGGAGGCAGCAAATCAATGATTCTCATTATTGATGTTTCTCTCTCTCCCTTAAAATAAAAAAAAGCGGCACATGTGGGTGCTCTTCTACCTCTCTTACTACCCTGTGCTTTCTTTTTTTACTTCTCTAGTTGTAAGACTTCCACTCAGCCAACTTTCAGGCAGTTCTGATGGTTGTCCTATATTTTAGTTATAATTTTGTTTGTTTGTGGGAGGGGGGCAAGTATCAGTGTTTACCTACACCACCATCTTGGTTCTCTGTAGTTTTACAGGACAAAATTTGTATGCTTAAAATTTTCTTTACTGTTCCTTCACCTTTAAATATTATAGATTGGAATTCTAGGTTGGAATCTGTTTTGCTCAAGCCCATTGGAAATTTGCTGTTTTATTTCACTGTTAAAACATCTGCTAACTGATCTTTGTTCCTTTGTAGGTAATCTAGTTTTAGCCTTTGTTACCTGTAATGCACCCAGGTTAGTTTTCATCTTTTCTGTATAGCACTTGGTAAACTAGTCCACTATGAGGTCTTTCATTTTTCCTTAATTCTAGGAGTATTTATCCAGTGTGTACACTTAGTTCAATTCATTCTTGTCTCATGTTCCCAACACGCTTAGTGAACAAATCAGATTAAGAATGAACAGGTGCTCAATTGAGGCTGGATAAGATTAAATAAAGAAATATGGGGAAATATCAAATAAAATGAGGTCATAGAGGTCACCAGAATAGGTCCAGGGGGAAAAAGAGGGAAAGGAGAAAAAAGAAAAAGTGCACATAGAAAACATTTCAAGGAGTTTGTTGTAAAAGAAAGGAGGTGCTTCTTTGGTTCTAGTTAGGACACACAATATGTCCACAGTAATAAGAAAGGATGATACATGGGCAGATACTGGCAGACTTATAGAGATGCAGTGGTGGCAACTTTCAAAAGTTCTTTTCTGGTTGTTTTTATCTTACTGCCAACATGGGCAAGGTACAAAGGGAGGTTAGAGATGTGAAGACAGAGGTGAACCTACTATCACATTCTCACTTGGGAGAGTAAAGACTTAGAACTACTAAGCAACCATGGTTCTGATGATCAGTCAGTCTGTAATTGGTAAACATTTTGTTTGTTTGTTTTTTTTAAAAAAAGCCCACAAAAACCTGCTCTGTAGTCTGTTCTTTTAATAATTTTCTCAAAACAGGGTTTCTCTGGGATTCCTAATCCCACTACCTTAAGATGGAGGTAATCTGATCTGATCTACATTTAAACATACATGGCAGCAATAACATTCTCCCATGAAACCATCTACACAGTAATGTATGGTTCAGGGAGCATTCAAGATTTCTCTTCCTCATAGCCTGGTATACATACAGGGCCATAAACTATTACATTATGCTCCTCTATTAAGAATCTTGCATTATTTATATTCCCAGGTCTTATTTTCTTCTCTCTGATACTACTCCCACCCCCAATTACTATAGATTTTAAGGGTCCCATCACTCTTTGTTCTGTTCTTGTTTTGAATGATATATTGCAACCTCCAGTTTCAGGTCGCTGATCAAGACCCTACATTATATTCCAGAGCCTCCTCTGCATTAACCCAATAGCAGTTGAAATCTTTGTATGGCATATATGTATAATCTTAATGACGGAAACCAAGTCAGGTAAATAATGAATCACATTGCATGTCAAGACTCTTGCTATTTCACCTGAGCCATTCTTTCTGAAAAAATAATTTAATGAGATCATCTGAAAATGAATATTTATTTGGTAAACATTTTATAGAAATAGACCCTAAAATCAAACAATTTCTTAAACGGACAGCACAATCCCAATCTTTCCCCCATTAAAAGCCTACTCCACAAATGAAGTACCAAAAGCCCAGAAACTGTATTGCTAAAGAGGGGAAATGAGGGAGAAAGACATTGAACTTCCATAGGAAGACTGTATTATCTCTGGCAGTGGTTAAGTACACATCAGGCTGTACCCAAGGGCACTACTGAGTCTGAAAACTTAACTGGAAATCTAAACTTAATACTTCTTTGTTCTTAATAAGGCTCAGAAAATTACCACTTATCAATTATGCAATGTTACATTACGTAAACTGATATGATATAAATCAAAAAGTTAAGTAGGCATTCTGCATTTTAACACCAATATAGGTAAATCTGTAGATGTAAATAAGAATTTAAAGACATTCTTTAGCTCCAATTAAAACAAACATTCAGAACTGGAATCTTCAGAGTTTTCTAATATCTTGAAAATTCCCATCTTCTCTTTAATTGGTCCTGAGGCATTCATTTGATCTAAGAGAAAAATATTAGAACAAGTATTTATTCTTTAAAACATGTTAAGAACCTAAAGAGGAATATTTAAAAAGATGTCCAATATGTTGCTATCAGATGTGAGTCACCTGTTGAAAAATTTGAAACACATAGAAATATGGGCCCCTTTATTCTTAAGCAGAATTAAGGTTACTATTTTCTTATTACAAATAGAACAGGACTCCAGGGGACACACAACACAAACTGAAACATCAGTTTGCTAATTAAAATAACTTCTGCTCAATTTAAGATATCCAGAGAAATAAACAGAATATCTATTTGAATTGTGTCCTCAGAGATGTATTTTAAAAAGTGCCCTAACTGGTTTGGCTCAGTGAATAGAGCATTGGATTCCAGTCAAGGGCACATACTCAGGTTGTGGGCTCAATTTCCAGTAGGAGGTGTGCAGGAGGCAGCTGATTGATGATTCTCATCATTAATATTTCTCTCTCCCTTCCTCTCTGAAATTGATAAAAACACATTAAAAAATAATTCTAGCTAATAAAGAAATGGGAGGGGAAAAACCCCCCAGTTTTGCCATCCTTAAGGAATATAGGTTCAAAATCATCATCAGCAATGGATGCTAAAACCATTAGGTTAAAGAAAAGGTTGACAGAAAACCACAGACTGAATCTGCTCATCAATGTTAGCTCATTGAAAATAAACTCATATTATGTGCCTCCTGGTATGATTTAAAATAGAACAAAGAAAGCACTGGTATTCCTAAGATATGGAACCTGGATGCAATTACTCATACAGAACTCTTTACACAAGCTATTTACCACTTTACAGAAAATATGGAGACTGAAAAAAAGTCATGAGGACAGCCCAGAGGGTGCGGGGGGAAATTAGCCCATTTCAGAATATAGGTCATTTTTATAGAATAAATAACAGGTTTCTCCAACAAATTAGTGGCATTCAAAAAACAAAAGTGAGGAGGGTGTGATAGAAATAATGGGACATAACAATCAATGAAATTTTGGATCCTGATTCAAACTGTAAAAAGATTTGAGACAACTGGGGAAATCTGAGTATGGGTTGGATATTAGTGCCAATTCTCTTAAATGTAATAATGACATAATGGCTATGTTTGAGAACATGTTCTTCTTAGTAAATGATGCATGAGAAAGATATGGGTAAAACATCATAATTTAAAGATTCTGACAAAGAATAGCAATGAGAGTGTTATGAACTATTGAGGATGAATGAATTATATATAGAGCCACATTATACTATTCTCTCTGGTTATGTGTATGTTTTAAAGTTTCCATGAAAATAAAAGCCTAAGAGATATTTACCAATGAGATCACTTCGATCTAACAACAATTCTAGATCTTCATCGCTGATGACCTTCTCTCTTGATCCTTTTACTTCCCTATAATAGAAAGCAAAATTTTTTATCTATATGATAAATCAAAACCATGAATTACATTTTTCTCAACAACAACAACAAATCGTACCTCTCATAATCTCTAGATTTTAACAATTCCATTAATTCCTTAGGGTCTAGGAAACTCTTAGATGGATTTAATCCAGATCGACCACCTTTGAAATGATCTAGAAAAAGTATTCAAGAAATTCAAAATTGTTTTTAAAACCAAAAAAACATCACAAAGCAATTAGAGTGGCTTACATTAAAAAAGACAGATGAGACCAAATGTTGGTAAAAAAGAAAAACAACCGAAATTCTTGGGAAAAGTTTGATCGTTTCCTATAGGTAAATGTATACCCATCCTAAGACCCAGAACAAATAAATGCGTATGTCCACAAATACCTGTACAAATATCAGATTTTTTTTTAAAAAGAGAATATATCTTTATGACCTTGGGGTAGGCAATGAGTTTTGTTTTTTTAAATATATTTTATTGATTTTTTACAGAGAGAAAGGGATAGGGATAGAGAGTTAGAAACATCCATCAGCTGCCTACTGCGCACCCCCCACTGGGGATATGCCTGCAACCAAGGTACATGCCCTTGACCGGAATCGAACCTGGGACTCTTCAGTCCACAGGCCGACACTAGCCACTGAGCCAAAGTGGTCAGGGCGGCAATGAGTTTTTTTTAATATACTTTTATGGATTTCATAGAGGAAGGGAGAGGGAGGTAGAAACATCAATGATGAGAATTATTGATTAGCTGCCTCCTGGGATGCCCCCTACTGGGGCTTGAGCCCACAACCCAGGCCCTGCCCATGACCACAATCAAACCTGGGACCCTTCAGTCCACAGGCCAACGCTCTCCCCGAGCCAAACCAGCAGGGCCAAACATCTGATTTTTATGAATAAGAATCTACATCTGGAAATAACTCAAACACCAATCAACTGAAAAATGGATAAATGAACTATTCAGAAATCATTTAAACAAATACCAGACTTCTAATACACACACAACACAGATGATTTTCAAAATATTATGTTGAGCAAAAGTAGGTAGATAAAGAACATACATAGACAAAGGATGCAGTAGGAAACCTACTTGAACATGGAAATGTCAGTGACTTTGACCTAGACTAGAGCACTGGCCGGCAAACTGCGGCCCCCTGAGTGTGGCTCTTCCACAAAATACCACGTGTGGGCGCACATGTACAATGCAATTAAAATTTCGTGGCCACACTCAAGGGACCAAAGAGCCACATGTGGCTCGCAAGCCACAGTTTGCCGGCCACTGGACTATAGGATTGCTACATGAGTATATAAAAGTCAAAATTCATTACTGTATATTCAAACTCTGTATGTATATTATACCTCAATAAAACACTGTCAATACTTATTAAACTAATTTCAAATCATTTAAATTTTAATCTTTCAATGTACTGAAAACAGAACTTAGGGAAATAAAACTATAAACTTTACTAAATTCCCATCAAATTCCTAAAGCAGCACAGGCAAAAATTTAATTTGTACAAAATCTTAAGTGAGGACTTAACTGTATTTGCAAGTAGGAAAGTAGCATAATATAAACTGACAGTAATTTTCAACATTTCTTTAGGCTTCACAACTAACAGGTAATTTTCTACTTTTCTTAAGGTAGCCATCAAGTCATTTATTCAAAGATAATTTTATATTGAATGAAAGAATTTCTCCAAGGAATCTCAAGGAACAGAACAAAGAATGCCAATGTCTCACTAACTTCATTTTCCCTACTCCTCAAAATCTTTTCTAGATTAAAAAACACTTTTTAAAAATACTATAATCAAAAGTATGAAAAAGGCATGGTGGAGTCAAATATTTTTTGAACTAGTAGTTCAACAAAGTAAATTGATTTCTTTATAGCACTACTTCAATATACTTTTAACATCCTAGAATTTAATATATTAAACTTGCAAGAAAAGGCCAGCAAGTTTTCTTAATCCTTTTGACAAACAAAGCTCTTATCAAGAATTAAGTATCAATGCTCGGCTGATGTGATCCACGAACCAGGAGGTCAGGGCACATGCCCGGGTTGCTGGCTCGATCCTCTGTAAGGGGTAGCGGGAATCAATGATTCTCTCATCATTGATATTTCTCTCTCTGAAATCAAAACAAATTTAAAATGAAAAATAAAAAGAATAAGCATCAACATCATTTCAAATCCCTGTGACATATTTCAGATAGGCACTTTGAAATTATCCCTTTGTTCCTCATCTAGAAACTCACTAATGTTTTCCTTTTACGTCTATGGTCACCAACTTAGGTCTTTACAGCTTCAAATTTCCTTCTGCCTGTTTAATAAATCCTGCACTAACCAAGCTCACTCATTTCTTTTACAAAGAAAATAACACAAATCCACAACACACAACAACTGAAGCAAAAAATACTAGAAAGTGGCATTTACTTTTGTGGATGATCAACTTCTCCAATTTTCTTTTAGCAGCTGCTCTTTCCACAATTTTCTGATCAACAGTGTTTGCTGTAACAAGACGATATACAACAACTGGCTTTGTCTGACCAATTCTATGACATCTATCCTGGGCCTGAAGATCAGACTGGGGGTTCTTAAAGAAAAATAAAATTGAACAATGTAAGGTTGATATTATTTAAATTTATACGTACTATGTGTGGATAAAGTCAACATGCATGATCTAATCAAAAACTTTTAAATAGTGCCTTAATTTAGACTTCTACAATGGCCTGATAGAGCATGTTCAAGCCTTCACACACAGGACACCGGATAAATTATTTACTTAAAATGGCTACCTTTTCAAACCAGATAAATGAAACTGCAAAGCATACAATGAAAGATTTAAAAAATTCAGAATGTAATGATAATCAGCACATTATTATACTTGCAACTTACCCAATCACTATCATAAATGATAACTGTATCTGCTGCAGTCAAATTAATGCCCAGGCCACCAGCTCGTGTACTCACTAAGAAGATAAACACCTCTGGATCTGTGTTAAAGTTGTGCATCTAAAAGCAAAACAGGATGTGAACACAGGAATTAAGAAACCAACTTCTGCCTGGAAAGAGGTTAGGGTGCTGCATGTGGAGCATCTCACAGCCATGTGTTTACCAGGAAAAGAAGGGGGAGGTCAGTGGTGGGCTCTTCAAACTGGGTATTAGTTCTTCAGCATCCAAAGGACTTTTGATGAGCGATATATACTGAAAACCCCCCAAACCATAAAAGGTGAAAAAGACCAATTTTCTGAAAAGACAAAATTGCTGAAGACACACTTCTCACAACACACAAAAATCATAGGCCTATTTCCCAGATTGTGGCAAAAAACTAGGGGCCCTAGGATATACTGATCAATTTGAACTTCAGAGGGGCTTGAAACTGAATAGCGTAGGCCAGATACACAGTGCTCCAAGCCTACTTGACCCTTAATACAAACTTGGGACATCAAGGTTCAGGTGAGTTTCCCTGGTTTACTTAATATGTGTTATTATAAATTGTTGCTGGGATAATTAAGTCCTGCCTGTGTGACTCCATTAGAAACTCACATCTACTCTCTCCTGGACTTTACCTATGTAACTTTTCTCTTTGCCAATTTTAATCAGTATCCTTTCACTGTAATCAACCATAACCATGAGAGAGATTAAGAAAAATATAAACACTTTAAACAAAAACACTGATTATTTTTAATTACAACTAATAAAGGTGTATCCAAGGGAGGTCAAATCAATCACTTGGACCTATAAAACAACTGTTAGGCCTGGCAGGGTGGCTCAGTTGTTTGTAGTATCGTCGTGTACAGCAAAAGGTTGCGGGTTCGATTGCTGATTGGGGTGTGCATGGGAGGCAACTGATCAATGTTTCTCTCACACAAAATTTTTTTTCTCTCTCTAAAATCAATAAACACATCCATGGGTAAGGATTAAAAAACAAAAACGGAGAAGCCAAGATGGCGGCATAGGTAAACACCGGAGATTGCTGCCTCGCACAACCACTTCAAGAATACAACTAAAAGACAGAACGGGCATCATCCAGAACCACAGGAAGGCTGAGAGGAAATACAACTAGAATGAAAGAGGAAAGCATACCGAGACTCAGAGGAGCTGCGGTGCGGAAGTTAAGTGCACAGGTATGGAGGCGGATGCGGAAAGGACTGGTGGCTGAGGAGGGAGTCTCAATCTGCCTACTGCTCTGAACGCCAGTTCTGGGCAAGTCTCTGGGGACCCTGACTGATATGGGGAGAGGCTAGACCAGCCGTGGGCAAACTACGGCCCACGGGCCGAATCCGGCTGTTTGAAATGAATAAAACTAAAAAAAAAAAAGAAAACCAAAAAAAAACCCGTACCTTTATGTAATGATGTTTACTTTGAATTTATATTAGTTCACACAAACACTCCATCCATGCTTTTGTTCCGGCCCTCCGGTCCAGTTTAAGAACCCATTGTGGCCCTCGAGTCAAAAAGTTTGCCCACCCCTGGGCTAGACTGTCTGGCATCGTTCTCATCTTGAGGGCGGCTTTCTCTCAGAGGTGCTTGCAGAGATTACCCGGACACTGAGACTTGGGGCCTCTTAGGGAAGGACTGAGGAACAACCATAGCTGTTTGCTCTGCCCTATTGATCCCCTGGGACCCAGCCCCGCCCAAGCTGCCCAGGGAGGCTTTTGTAATCTGAAAATTACCTAACAAACTTGCAACTGGCCGAAGGCCCCAGGGCAACTTGCATTCCTTCACAGCTGAGCTCCAGCTGAGTAGCCTCAGGCAAAAGCTAGATTAGCACCTCCTGAAAGATCCAGGAACCAGTATACCAGTGGTCAGAGTGACTCAGTGAGCACCAAAGCCCCACGGAAGCAAGTCTTGCCCCGGAGGGGTGTCTCCAGCACAGAAGTTCTCCCACTGCAGACACAGCTGATTCTCACAGCCAATTGGTCAATTCCTCCCAGTGACACCTACAACAATCAAGGCTTAACTACAACAAGACTGTGCACACAGCCCACAAGGGGATGCACCAAGAGTGTCCACCTCAGGTAATTGGGGAGGCTGAGCCACTGGGCCCTATAAGACACCTAGCACAGAAAGCCACTCCACCAACACAGGGAAGCACAAAAAATGCGGAGACAAAGAAATAGGACACAAATGACAGAAATGGAGGAAAGCAAACGACTGGATATAGAGTTCAAAACCACACTTTTAAGGTTTTTTAAGAATTGTCTAGAAGCCGCCGATAAATTTAGTAAGACCCTCGAAAAGACTGGTGAGAATGCCGATAAATGTAGTGAGATCCTCAAGAAATCTAGTCAGACCCTGGATGTTATGATAAAGGACCAACTGGAAATTAAGCATAAACTGACTGAAATGAAGGATATTATACAGACTCCCAACAGCAGACTAGAGGATCGCAAGAATCAAGTCAACGATTTGAAATACGAAGAAGCAAAAAACACCCAACCAGAAAAACAAAATGAAAAAAGAATCCAAAAATACGAAGATAGTGTAAGGAGCCTCTGGGACAGCTTCAAGCATACCAACATCCGAATTACAGGGGTACCAGAAGAAGAGAGAGAGCAAGATACAAACAAAAGGAATCCAAAGAGGACCACACCAAGACACATCATAATTAAAATGCCAAGAGCAAAAGACAAAGAGAATCTTAAAAGCAGCAAGAGAAAGAAAGTCAATTACCTACAAGGGAGTACCCATACGACTGTGAGCTGATTTCTCAACAGAAACTTTGCAGGCCAGAAGGGAGTGGCAAGAAATATTCAAAGTGATGAATGCCAAGAACCTACAACCAAGATTACTTTATCCAGCAAAGTTATCATTCAGAATTGAAGGTCAGATAAAGAGCTTCACAGACAAGAAAAAGCTAAAGGAGTTCATCACCACCAAACCAGTATTATATGAAATGCTGAAAGGTATCCTTTAAGAAGAAGAAGAAAAAGGAAAAGATACAAATTATGAACAACACATACACATCTATCAACAAGTGAATCTGAAAATCAGGTGAATAATCTGATGAACAGAATGAACTGGTGATTATAATAGAATCAGGGGCATAGAAAGGGAGTGGACTGACTATTCTTGGGGGGGAAAGGGGTGAGAGGGATGCGTGAAGAGACTGGACAAAAATCGTGCACCTATGGATGAGGACAGTGGGTGGGGAGTGAGGGTGGAGGGTGGGAACTGGGTGGAGAAAAGTTATAGGGGAAAAAAAGAGGAACAAATGTAATAATCTGAACAATAAAGATTAAAAAAAAATGTTAGAATAGTCTATCTGCCTTGGGGCCTAACTAGTAAAATAAAAATCCCTGATCAATATAAAAAAAAAACAAAAACAAAAAACAAACAAAAAAAAACCACAATAATTATGTGATGTTAATAAAACGTCCGATGTTGTTCACTTCATTTATTTTCTGAGCACCTACACTTTGTTAAGATCTAAGATCTTAACTTAATCCCCACCACAAGGGAAGTTTACAGGAGACCATCTACTATTAGAAAACAATATTAGAAAATTTTAAAATATTAGAGGGAAAAATCTAGGCCACCCTCCTCCCCTCTCCCCCAAAAAAGTGATAAAAACCAAAATTGGTTGACTAGGAGATGGGGCAAGCAGGAAAGGTGGATTACTCTGAGGGAGCATGAGGAAATTTTTTGAGTGGATGGGTAATGTTCTGTATCTTGATAATTTAGGTCACGCTCATAAATGCAGTAATCAAAATAACACATATATAATTAATTTTATTCCCTCAGGGTATGTAAATATCACCCTAAAAGACAAAATATGCTGAAGTAATTAGAAAGGGACTATCATCTATTATTTGTTTTTAAATACACTAAGAGAGAATGGAACGTTAAATGGACAGGGTAATAGGTTGATGCTGTATTCTAGCTATGCAATAAAAAAATAGTAAAGTTTCAACTGTAGGTTCTAGTTTACAGATAGCTAAAAAATTCTTTCAACTGCTATTCTTGAAAATTTCATGGTAAAATGTTAGAAGTGAAGGAAAGAGCCAAAATGGAGAAAAAATTATGTTATCCTATAGTAGGTATAGTGGTGTTTAAGTAGGATATTAACAAAAGATATACTATATCATTTGCTAAAGACTAAAGGGTGTTTTGCTCTTTTGGATTTATCAATTTGTGGGTCTATTTTGATACTTCAGAAATCCAAGTAAGAATTAAAAAAAAAAATTTTGGTATGTATGACATTAAGAAAACTTACATTTCTCTCCCTCTCTGAATAAGTCATGGATCCATCAAGTCTGCTAAAGTTGAAATTTCTGAAGTGGCAGTAATCGATCAAAATGTCCAACATTCTTGTCATTTGTGAAAAAAGCAGCACCTGAAATTTAAATTTATTTTAGTAGCTATACTGATTAAAAAGAATAAGCAATAAAAAAAATCCAACCAAAGTACCACCTTGTGACCTCTGGTTTTTAGTTCAGGCAGCATTCGATCCAAAATTAAGAATTTTCCAGAGTTTGTTATCAATTCTTCATCAACCTTAAAAGGGGGCAAAGGAAGAAAAAAATAATTATCAAAAAGTAATTATCATGTACTAATAATTTGGCTTTGTCAAAATAAAAGCAATGTGGACAGTTCAATTTTCAATGAAAAAACCTTATAAAACTTAAAAAAAAATACACAAATAAAGTCAAATTAAAAATTTTTAAGATAATTCTTTCTTTAGGAAAGACATGCTCTGAAACTTAAAACACATGATTTTACAAAAATAAAATTTAGTTTAAGTAGAACCTTGATCTATTCTCTCTACCCCTTTTTTAAAGGCTTTGCATAAGAGAATAAGGTCAAACATATATGTAAGTTGAGATTTATTTTTTATAATCGAGTATATTTTCAAGAAAATATTTATGAAAATCACTGGTAGAACTCTCAGTAGCAATTAAAACACAGGAGCTTATACACACACCTAGTATTGAAGATTAAGAAATTATTCACTTTCTGGTTAACATAAATTACCTCATTAGATCATCTTTCTTACTTGAATGAAAAATTGTAAAGCAGTGATTCTCAAATATGGGAAATTTTGCCTACCATTCCCAGGGTGTATTTGGCAGTGTCTGGAGGCATTTCAGGTTGTCACAACTGGGGGAGGGAAATACTGCTGGCATCTAGTGGCTAGAGGCTAGGGATGCTGCCAAATGGCTTATAGTCCACAGGACAGCATCGCCTAAACAAAGAAATATACTGGCCCAAAAAAGCAGTATTTCCAAGGGTGAGAAACTCTGCTGTAAACTACTGTGAAACAAAAGTATTGCCCTAACCCAGCCGTGGGCAAACTACGGCCCGCTTGAAATGAATAAAACTAAAAAAAAAAAAAAAAAAAAAAAAAATGACCGTACCCTTTTATGTAATGATGTTTACTTTGAATTTATATTAGTTCACACAAACACTCCCTCCATGCTTTTGTTCCGGCCCTCTGGTCCAGTTTAAGAACCCATTGTGGCCCTCGAGTCAAAAAGTTTGCCCACCCCTGCCAGTTTGGCTCAGTGGATAGAGGGTTGCCCGGGGGACTGAAGGGTCCCAGGTTCGATTCCAGTCAAGGGCACATGCCTGGGTTACAGGCTTGATCCCCAGTAGGGGGCGTGCAGGAGGCAACAGATCAATGATTTCTCTCTCATTATTAATATTTTTCTCTATCCCTCTTCCCTTCCTCTCTAAAATTAATAAAAATATATTTAAAAAAAAAGAGTATTGAGGATTACTTAGAACTGATTTCCTAATATTCCTTCAGGGAATAAAAGCTGTTTTTTCATCAACTGCCCAGCACAACTTCCCAATACCCTTTCCGTAGGAAAGCTAACCATAAAGAAAGCAATTTCATTTAATCTGAAAATCTGCAACTTAATATCAACTTTTTGGTTTTCTCCTGTGGCTCTTTGTTGACATGTAAATGAGCAGCAAGATTGGTTTTGACAGGCTGAATATCAATTAAAAGTATTACTGCAAAGGTTGACAACTAAAGGTGTCTCTAAAATAGAAACAGAGGGAAATCAGCTGTGTTACTAAACAATTGTATTTCTAGTTTTTCCAATATGGAAAATGACACTTTCACCCAACATTTTAAAAGCACAGAAATCAAAACAGGGCATTATTAAATAGTATTTACCTTAAACTCCTGTGTGACTGGGTCTATAGGGTACTCAATCAAATATGGATGGTTACAGCATTTACGAAGTAGCATCATTATATTCTGCAGCTTCAGATCAACTTCAGATTCTACAGGAATATTCATTTCCACAACAGGTCTATCAAAAATATGTAATCCGTGAATACAAGAAATATGAAAAAATATCAGTTTAAAGGATACTTAATTTTTAAATTCACACCTTTCTTGGTCTAGCTCTGGCTGTATCTGACTGATCAAGTTGTCCAATTCATTAGGGGAATCATCTAGTTCGCTGTAATTTATTAATTTCCTACTTCGCCGTTTTGGTCGTCCAGTGGAACTTAACTGAACTGTTTCTTTCTAAAAGAGAACAAATGAAAGGAATATCTGTTTAAAAAGCTACACCCTTAAACTCTAAATATATAGCTAAAAACTCAGATCTTCCTTTTAATTATGATGAAAATAGGAGAACAGAGTCTATTGGTTGTACAAAAGAGAAATGCATAAGCTTAAATATTTTGAGAAAAAAATACATACAGTAAAAAATCTAGGCATTTAAGCAAAATTTAATGGTCTCCTAATTTTCACTTATAAGATAATCACATTCCACTTCGTTTCTTAAAATAGGTGACTAAAGAAGCAATTAGGGCCGAACCGGTTTGGCTCAGTGGATAGAACGTCGGCCTGTGGACTCAGGGGTCCTGGGTTCGATTCCGGTCAAGGGCATGTACCCTGGTTGGGGGGAACGTCCCCAGTGGGGGGCGTGCAGGAGGCAGCTGATCGATCTCTCTCATCGATGTTTCTTACTCTCTATCCCTCTCCCTTCTTCTCTGTAAAAAATCAATAAAATATATTTTCAAAAAAAAGAAAAGAAGCAATTAGGAGAAACCAAGATGGCGGCCTAGGTAAACATCGGAGTTTGCTGCCTCGAACAACCACTTCAAAAATACAACTAAAAGACATAACGGACATCATCCAGAACCACAGGAAGGCTGGCTGAGTGGAAATTCTATAACTAGAAGAAAAGAGAAAAGCACACTGAGATTCAGAGGAGGTGCGGTGCGGAAGTAAAATACTAAGGTACAGAGGCACACACGGAGCGGGCTGGCAGCTGAGGGCGTGGTTGTCGTTTTCAATCTGGAGCGAGTCTCAGGTTCTGAGCTCCATTTCCGGGCGACTCTATGGGGACCCAGACTCATACGGGAGAAGCGGGACTGTCTGGCATCGGTTGGAACTCGAGGGCAGCTTTCTCTCGGAGGTGCTTGCAGCGATTGCCAGGACACTGAGAAGTGGGGCCTCTGAGAGCACCCATAACTGCTAGCCCCGCCCTGTTGATCCCGAGGGACCTGCCCCGCCCAAGCCCTGCAGGGAGGCTTTTGCTGGATAGCCTCAGGCAGAGGCTAGATTAGCAACTCCTTAGAGATCCAGGAGCTAGTGTGCCCAGTGGTCAGAGTGGGACCATCCAGTTTGCAGCTCCTTGGATACATAAAGGACACACTCAGGGAGGGGGCAGACTCAGTGAGCACCAAAGCCCCATTGAAGCAAGTCTTGCCCCAGAGGGGTGTCTCCAGCACAGAAGTTCTCCCACTGCAGACACAGCTGATTCTCACAGCCAGTTGGCCTGGAGGTCAATCCCTCCCAGTGATACCTACAAAAATCAAGGCTTAACTACAACAAGACTGTGCACAAAGACCACAGGGAGTGCACCAAGAGTGTCCTCCTCAGGTAATTGGGGAGGCTGAACCACTGGGCCCTAGAGGACACTTAGCACAGAAAACCACTTTATCAACACAGGGAAGCACAAAAAATGCGGAGACAAAGAAAAAGGACACAAATGACAGAAATGGAGGGAAGCAAACGACTGGACATAGAGTTCAAAACCACACTTTTAAAGTTTTTCAAGAACTTTCTAGAAGCCGCCGATAAATTTAGTAAGACCCTCGAAAAGACGGGTGAGACTGCCGATAAATGTAGTGAGATCCTCAAGAAATCTAGTCAGACCCTGGATGTTACGATAAAGGACCAACTGAAAATTAAGCATACACTGACTGAAATGGAGGATATTATACAGACTCCCAACAGCAGACTAGAGGATCGCAAGAATCAAGTCAACGATTTGAAATACGAAGAGGCAAAAAACACCCAACCAGAAAAACAAAATGAAAAAAGAATCCAAAAATACGAAGATAGTGTAAGGAGCCTCTGGGACAGCTTCAAGCATACCAACATTCGAATTATAGGGGTGCCAGAAGAAGAGAGAGAGCAAGATATTGAAAACCTAGCCGAAACCGGTTTGGCTCAGTGGATAGAGCATCGGCCTGCGGACTGAAAGGTCCCAGGCTCGATTCCGGTCAAGGGCATGTACCTTGGTTGCAGGCATATCCCCAGTAGGAGATGTGTAGGAGGCAGCTGATCGATATTTCTCTCTCATCGATGTTTCTAACTCTCTCCCTTCCTCTCTGTAAAATATCAATAAAATATATATATAAAAAAAAAGATATTAAAAACCTATTTGAAGAAATAATGACAGAAAACTTCCCCTATCCAGTGAAAGAAATAGACTTACAAGTTCAGGAAGCACAGAGAACCCCAAATAAAAGGAATCCAAAGAGGACCACACCAAGACACATCATAATTAAAATGCCAAGAGCAAAAGACAAAGAGAGAATCTTAAAAGCAACTAGAGAAAGAAACTCAGTTACCTACAAGGGAGTACCCAGACGACTGTGAGCTGATTTCTCAACAGAAACTTTGCAGGCCAGAAGGGAGTGGCAAGAAATATTCAAAGTGATGAATGCCAAGAACCTACAACCAAGATTACTTTATCCAGCAAAGCTATCATTCAGAATTGAAGGTCAGATAAAGAGCTTCACAGACAAGAAAAAGCTAAAGGAGTTCATCACCACCAAACCAGTATTATATGAAATGCTGAAAGGTATCCTTTAAGAAGAAGAAGAAGAAGAAAAAGGTAAAGATACAAATTATGAACAACACATACATATCTATCAACAAGTGAATCTGAAAATCAGGTGAATAATCTGATGAACAGAATGAACTGGTGATTATAATAGAATCAGGGGCATAGAAAGGGAGTGGACTGACTATTCTTGGGGGGGAAAGGGGTGAGAGGGATGCGTGAAGAGACTGGACAAAAATCGTGCACCTATGGATGAGGACAGTGGGTGGGGAGTGAGGGTGGAGGGTGGGGTGGGAACTGGGTGGAGAGGAGTTATAGGGGGAAAAAAGAGTAACAAATGTAATAATCTGAACAATAAAGATTTAATTATAAAAAAAAGAGAAGGAATTAATGTATGAGACATCACTTAAATTTTAGGACCATAGCATTACTGGCCTTTTGCCTTTCACTTCAGTTAGAAATTCACAAGTCCTGAAAAGAGGTGATGATCCCTAAGACTGAAATCAACCATGAAATTTTCTATGCCAGCTGTCTTATACAGTTTATTTCAAATCCACACTCTACCTCACTGGATCCAAACATGTTTGTAATTGTACGGTTCACAATGGCTGTATAAAAGGTCTCTTGTTTCTTTGAAAGTGGTGCATAAACGACTACTTCTCGTTTAGGAGGAACTTCAAGAGCAACATCAGATTTTAGTCTTCTCAGTAAGAAAGGTGTTAGAATCTAAAATTTAAACATAAATAAACATATGTGAATACTGTACATTCCTATTTTGGGGAATACTTTCCCAACAGGTTCCTTTCCCCCTTCTCTTTTCTTCCTATGTAAATATTATAAAGTCTCAAAAGGTGAGGTAAAATGTCTCCTTGAGATTTTCCCAGACCAGGTCACCACATGACAAATATAGTATTCACAATTTATTAGTTTCCTAATATATACTGAATATTTTAAAAAGCCAATATAGGTTTTGAATTATTAGAAAACCAATGAATCAACTAATCAACCCAGAGATGTGGACATGAAAACCTTCTATAAATTCTAAAGCTTTAGCTTAAAATTACTCTCTTTCATCAGATATGTGATGACAACTAATTTTCACATTTTTAAAACACAGAAGCAAAAGGTAATTATACCATCATTAAACTTCTTAGATCTTTAAAATAAATTCCCCATTTGATGAACAAGAATAGATCCAGACACAAATGGTAGGGGAGAGGGGGCGGTTAGAGAGCAACCAAAGGACTTGTATGCATTCTTATTAGCATAACCAATGGACACAGACACTGGACGGTGGGGGCTTGCCCAGGGTGGGAATGGATGCTGGTGGTGGTGGTGCTGGTGGGTTAATTGGAGAAAAGGGAGACATATGTAAAACTTTAGACAATAATAAAAAAAGAATTCCCCAGAGGTAGACAGCTAAGAGATTTTATGAGAAAGAGAACATGACCAGTAGTGTGTTTAGAAAAAGAAAAAATAAAACAAAAAAAACATGTATAGACATCAGCCCAGAAACAAATATACTTAAAGAAAATTAGCCAGATAAAAGGTAAGATTTGATAGGATAAGTATGATTTGTGATTATTTTTACTTTCCATTTCTATACGGTTTCAGATTTTTACCATAAATATGTATAAACTTTAAAGTAAAAATATATGTAAGGATTTTGAATGAAGTTGTCAAAACACGATTAAGCAGCTTTTCAGGCCCACATATAAATATAATTTGGAGACCTTTGAAAGATTATTTTGCCTGAAGTAAAGACAGTTGGATGGGTGGAGATTGTGGGAAACATTAATAATGGATCATGCAAAGAAGTAAATTATGCAAATATTACTGGCAAACATTGCATAAAAACCACTTAATTTTACTTTTTGACAAACATATCAGTAACCATTAGGGGTCAAATGACTATACATGAAAAAAAAAAAGCAAAATTTCAGAGCACTTGAGTTCTGCGGTAAAGCCATGTGATCTCTGGGGGTGGCGGAATATATATTAAATTTGGGAGGATCCTCATTTTTCAAAATCTACAATGAGTTGAGAACAGTTGATCTTTAGGGTTCCTTTTTTATTCTAAGTCTACAGTAAGCAAAATAAGAAAAAGTCAAAACCTGGTGCAGCATATGCAATACATTCTGTTCTCTTTCTTTAGCAATAATATCTTCAGCAGTTTCAGAAAGACTAGTGATATCAAACCAAGATTCAAAGCTGTAAGAGAAATGATTACCAGTTATCACATAAATCAATTACACTAACATGATGTGTTTCATATTTTTAATTTTATATTAACCTGACTCTTAAGCAGGTATTTTCTTTAAGTGGGCATATTTTTGATTTATACATTAACATAACCTTACAATAGTATAAAAATCAAATGAACAATAAGGGATATATATTTTTTCCTTTTAAAAATGCAGACTGCCACCTCATTTGGATGTGTCTGGAGTCTTGGAAGTTTGACCACCCTATGTTCTCCTACAAATGGACCTTGAGAGCCTGTGTGGCAGGTCTAAGAGGGGAGTGCAGCCACTGCCACACCTTGACTGAAAAACACCCTGACCAGGGACTGGTCACTTCTTCAGCCTAGCGCACAGCTTCAGGAGGAATGCACATGGAGTGGTGAGGGACGAAGGGAACACCCGCCTAACTCAATCAACCTAGTAATCAAATGGGGTGACAGATGTTGCAGCCAGATCAGCCTCACATCCTTTTTAAACATTTTAATAAAGTGATTAAAATGTAAACTATCCTTGAAATCTAAGGCAGTAGAGATATAAATATAATCTGAGGCAACTGATGTTTTTTATAAATTCAGATTTCTACCACCATGTTTTAACTCAGTAGGAATGTGTAGGACCTGAAAATGTTGTCCTTAATCAATGTTCTGTACTAACAATCAGACAGCCTGGCCTTGGGCCATTTGGAAACCAGAGGTGAAAAATTTATTCTCAAAATGAAATATTCAGTTATTTTCCTATATTAAATTAACCTTCCCTCACTGATACTAAAATTATTTTGCCCTCCTGATTTTGATATTTCCATCTTAATTATTTTTAACCTCTGTTAAGATTATTTTCTTATCCATTCTGAGCATACTAATTTTTGGTTTTCATAATATAAGATTCAAAGTTTATAGAATAAAAAACACTAGGTTGAAACTGGGAAATTTTGGCTCTGGTGTTAACTAGTGACACGTGTGTGTGTGTGTGTGTGTGAGTGTGTGAGTGTGTGAGTGTGTGTGTGTGTGTGTATATGTGTGTATAAATAAATAATTTTGGGGGGTTAATCCTCACTGGAGGATATTTTTCCATTGATTTTTAGGGAGAGCAGAAAGAGAGGAAAGACAGAGAGGAACATCCATGTGAGAGAAACCCATCTATTGGTTGCCTCCTGCACGAGCCCAGACCAGGGCCCAGGTGGAGCCTGCAACTGAGGTATGTGCCCTTGACTGGAATCGAACCCAGGAAGGACCCTTCAATCTGCAGGCAGATGCTCTATCCCGAGTCAATCGGCTAGGGCATATGTTCCATTCTTGACACAAATTTTGTGTGAACAAATAAAATATTTTAAAGGTTTTTTAAAAAAAAATTTGCATTGATTAAAGGAAAACTATTGAATTGAGAACAATTAAAATATTTGTTAACTGTGTGAAACACATTCAGATGCTTTTCCCTAATTTTATCCTTACAAAACAATTCAGGGGATAGGTTAAATATATCCCCTATCTCACAAGAAAACCCTGGCGTAAATTTACTAGTTAGTCCTAGTCAGTTTGGCTCAGTGGATAGATCATTTGTCTGCGGACTAAAGGGTGCCGAGTTCAATTCTGGTCAAGGGCACCTGCCAGGGTTGCAGGAGGCAGCCTATCGATGATTCTCCCTCATTACTGATGTTTCAGTCTCTCTCTCCCTTCTTCTCTCAAATCAATAAAAATAAATTTTAAAAAAAGAGGGGAACATATAGGGGAAGGGAGAATTGGTGAAAGGTGATAAAGTCCAAACTTCCAGTTATGAGAAAAATGAATGGGACTGTAATTGATGACTACAATTAACACTCCTGTATGATATATAGGAAAGTTGTTAAGAGAGCAGACCCTGAGAGTTCTTATCACAAGGAGAAATACTTTTTCTTATTATTGCAGATGACATATGTTAACTAAATCTATCATGATAATCAATTCACAATATATGTAAATCAAATCATCATGCTATCATCTTAAACGTTAAGAGTGGAGTATGTCTATTACTTTGCAATAAACCTGGGGATAAAACATCACAAACAGTAAAATATACAATATATACCAGAACACAGTATTTGGAAAGGTTAGGGAAACCTAGAAAGAGTTCAAATGACTGGCTTACCTACCTTTTCAAATCATCAAATACATCTGGTAACAAAAAGTTAAGCAGTGACCAAAGTTCTGATAAATTGTTCTGCAAGGGAGTCCCAGTCAAAAGAAGTTTGTTATCCGCATTGAATCGTTTTAACTCCCTGATTAGACGGCACTTCATGTTCTTGATCCTGTGTCCTTCATCTACTATTAAATATTTCCAATAGCAATGCTGAAAAAGAATTTAGGGAAAAAATGTTTTATGATACCGCACAATTTTTCCTAAAAACAATTGTGAAAATAAAACCTCTATTAAAGATGAATGTTAAATTTTATCAAATTGCATTTCTGTGTTTATTGAGATAATACTTTCCTTTGATCTATTAAAGGGATAATTTTCCTAAACTAATGCATACTTGTGTTCCTGAAATAGACCTCACTTGGCCATGAACTAAAAATTAAAGCCTACCTGCGATTAAGTATTTAAGATTTTTCCATTCACATTTTATAGTCAAAGCAGTCTGTAGTTTTCCATTCTAATGCATTGTCAAATTTTTTTTTTTAAATATATTTTATTGGTTTTTTTACAGAGAGGAAGGGAGAGGGATAGAGTTAGAAACATTGATGAGAGAGAAAGATCCATCAGCTGCCTCATGCACGCCCCCCACTGGGGAATGCGCCCGCAACCAAGGTACATGCCCTTGACCGGAATCGAACCTGGGACCCTTCAGTCCGAAGGCCGATGCTCTATCCACTGAGCCAAACCGGTTCGGCTGCATTGTGAAATTTTGATTGTTATCCTATCTAATAATAGACAAACATGGTAATTGACCATACCTTCACTACGCCTCCCATCGGCTAATCAACATGATATGCAAATTAACCAACAACGATGGCGACTAATTTGCATACTGCAGGCAGGACGGGACAGCGCCAGCCCGCCAGTGCAAGCCACCATCCAGGCCCCCGGGTGCGACCCCAGAAGCCGCCTGCCTGCTTCCCATGATCGGATCTGATCCCCGGCGCAGGCCGGCCCCAGAAGCCACCTGATATGGCAGTAACTATCAGCCCTTTGAAAGTCAGTGGCATAAATGCACCAATTAAAAGACAGATTATGAGGGTGAATCAAAAACAAAACCCACTTTAAATATAAAGACACATATAGATTAAAAGTAAATGAATTAAGCTACAGCCTGTTTTGCTCAGTGGATAGAGCATTAGCCCGTGGACTGAAGGGTCCCAGGTTCGATTCCAGTCAAGGGCATGTACCTCAGTTGCTGGCTTGATCCCAGTCCCTATCAGAGCGTGTGCAGGAGGCAACCAATGTGTTTCTCTTTTTCCCTTCACTCTCTCTAAAATTCAATGGAAAAATATCCTTGGGTGAAGATTAACAAAAACAAAGTAAATGATTAAGTAACATTACAGAGATTATAAGAAAAATATATTCCAAATTTTGTTAGTTGTATAATGGTTATGTTTAAATTATTAACACCTAAGAAACTGGGTGAAGGGTACATATAATATGCTGTATTATTTTATAGTTTTTTTTACATGTATGAAATTATTTCAAATTAAAATATTAAAAAAATTAAAAATAAAATATTAATTGAAATGTATCTCCATTACATGCAAAAATCTCCTAATTGCTTCTAGCATAATTTCCTGAATTGTGCTAAAATTACAAGGGTTCAATTAAAAAATATCTTAATTCTAAATGATATAATAGAAAATATATAATAGTGCAGTTATAAGCACTTATCTGAAAATAAAAATTTAAAGAAGTGAATTTAAAGAAGGGATTAGCCAAAAAAAATATATGCACAACCCATGGACACAGACAACAGTATGGTGATGGCCAGAGAGAAGTGGGGGACAAGAGCTGAGTAGAGGGGGCAAAAGGGGAGAAATGGGGACATCCTATATCTAATCTAATAAAAGACAAATGGGGTAATTAACCGTACCTTCGACACGCTTCCCATTGGCTAATCAGGGCGATATGCAAATTAATTGCCAACCAAGATGGCGGCTGGCAGCCAGGCAGCTGAAGCGAACAGGAGGCTTGCTTGCTCCAGTGATGGAGGAAGCCAAGATTCCCCGCCTGCAGCGACTGGGCTCTGAGCTGCACTCTAAGAAACAATGTTGCAATTATAGAAGCTAAACAAACCCCAGATACCTGCTTTCAGCAGCCGAGGCCTCAAGCTGGAGCCGGCCTCAGAGCTAAAGTCGGCCCTCAGCTCCAGTGACAGCCATAGAAGGTAAATAAATCCCAGAAAAAAAAAGAAAAAAGAAAAAAAGGAGAGGTTGGGAGCTTCAGTTGCCCACCAGCCTGAAAACGGCCCTTAGCCACTCACCCAGACTGGCCAGGCACCCCAGCGGGGAGCCCCACCCTGAAGGCGGTGTGACCAGCTGCAAATAGCCATCATCCCGTCATCCAGGCTGTCCAGGCACCCAAGCGGGACCCTCACCCTGATCAGGGACACCATTCAGGGCAAACCAGCCGGCCCCCACCCGTGCACCAGGCCTCTATCCTATATAGTAAAAGTGTAATATGCACACTGACCCTAACAGCAGAAGGACTGGGAATGACTGGTCACTATGACACACACTGACCACCAGGAGGCAGACGCTCAATGCAGGAGCTGCCCCCTGGTGGTCAGGGCGCTCCCACATGGGAGGAGCTCTGTTCAGCCACAAGCCAGGCTGATGGCTGCCAGTACAGCGGTGGTGGTAGGAGCCTCTCCTGCCTCCTCAGCAGTGCTAAGGATGTCCAACTGCAGCTTAGGTCTGCACCCTGCTGGCAAGTGGGCATCCTCCGAGGGCTGCCGGGCTGCCAGAGGGATGTCTGATTGCCATCTTAGGCCCAATCCCCCGGGGAGCGGGCCTAAGCCAGCAGGTGGTCATCCTCTGAGGGATCCCAGACTGCGAGAGGGCACAGGCTGGGCTGAGGGACCCCCCTTCCCCCACGAGTGCACAAATTTTTGTGCACCAGGCCTCTAGTAGTAATAATAAATGCTAGTATGCAAATTGACTGAATGGCAGAATGACTGGTTGCTATGATGCGAACTGGCCACCAGGGGGCAGATGCTCAATGCAGGAGCTGCACCCTGGTGGTCAGTGCACTTCCATATGGGGAGTGCCACTCAGCCAGAAACTGGCTCATGGCTGGCCAGTGCAGAGGTGGTGGCAGGAGCCTCTCTCACCTCGGTGGCAGCACTAAGAATGTCCAACTACAAGTTTAGACCCAATCCCTTGGGGGCATAAGCCTTTAGTTGGACATCCCCCGAGGGCTCCCTGGCTGCCAGAAGGATGTCTGACTGCAAGCTTAGGCCTGGTCCCCCGGGGAGTGGGCCTAAGTCGATAAGTGGATATCCCCCAAGGGGTCCTGGACTACAAATGGGTGCAGGCCAGGCTGAGGGACCCCCCGCCCCGCCCCCTCGGAGTGCACTAATTTTTGTGCACCGGGCCTCTAGTACTAGATAACTAAGAACTGAAAGCCTTTCTCTGAAAAATTAAATAGCATTAGAATTTTTGTTTTTAAGATTGACACTCTTTATAAACTGCTGGTGTAAGTTTTTACATAGTTATCGGTTTACTGAGGTTTCCCCTTTCATTTGTATCTTCGTGGAAAGCCATCCATTTAGTTTTACTACGTTGTCATGAAAATTGTTTTAACTTGTAAATTTTAATACCTGTGTTTTTCTTTTACCTTGACCAGGTCAACGTAAAGTTCATCCATTTTACTTTGTAAAATAAAGAAATAGGCAATATTTCTTGGAAGTATAAAAACCAAACTGGCAAGGATATCCTCAGATAAAAGGATTGGCAAATTAGGGGAAGAATGTGAAATGAGGCATCTTTAGTATTTTACTTTATACATTCATAGAATGAAAAGATTAAAAATTTTAAATATTATGACTTTAATAAAAATAACTTGGGACTTCTTTTTCTGGTAATATGGCAAACCAGAAAACATGAAAAAGTTCTCACTATAAGCCATCTACTTTATAAAGCCAAACAGAATATAAAATATCCTTTATAAATAGGCAAAAAAAGGGGAAGGAAATCTAATGCAATGGAAATGATGAGGAGTTTAAAAAATAAATTAGAAAGGTTTTCATGGTGATTAGACAAGAGAAGGTCAATTTTCCCGTTGTTATAACTTTGACACTAATAAGTAAGTAGCTACAACACTAAGAAAAACAGATATGGAAATGTTATGCTATAGATCCATAAGTCTAAAAGAAGTTGTCTTAATAATAGCCTATTTTAAAAAAAAATTTTTGAAGAGAAACATCAATTTATTCTGCTTATTTATGCATTCATTCATTAATTCTTGTACTAGTATGTGCCCTATCAGGATAGAACTTGCAACCTTGACTTATTGGGAAGATGCTCTAAACAACTGAGCACCCCAGGCTTGGGCCACAGTCTATTCTTATTTGATTAAATTTAAGTAAGTTCTATCTATTTAAAGCACATGTCCAAGACATATCTGTAATATTTTTACAGATTAGGTCCATATCTGGTGGATGCTAACTCATTTAAAATGACGTTATGGCTATAAAGTGCCATAGACTTTAATTTTCTTTTTTAGAAATTACAACGAACCTTTATCTGATGTTTCTGTTAAAATAAACAGCCCCTTCAGCTTCTAAGGAGCTGTGCATAATAGAATCTATTACTTCCACCAGAAAAAATTTTTTAAACACTACTGGATGATGAGTATTATAAAAATGTGATTTATGAATTACAAAGAATCCAATGAAGTTTATTCACACCTGTAATGCATTGCGGTCTCTCATGGCTATTTCAAATGAAGTGATCACCACAGGATGAATCTGCAGTGTTCCTTTCCGTTGGTGAATCTTCCTTACCAATTTTCGACGTTCCTGCTGGGTCCCATGATATAACATAGTAGGAATCTAAAAGATTTCATATAAAAATAATGAAACTATAACAACATTAATCATTTTAGAGAGAAATACTTGTAGTCAATCAATTCTAATAAATTAGTAGACTACTGTGGGAGAATTAAAAAGAAGTTGTAAGAGCCCTTACAGGTTTGGTTCAGTGGACAGAAGGTCAGCCTGCGGACTCAAGGGTCCCAGGTTCAATTCCGGTCAAGGGCATGTACCTTGGTTGCGGCACATCCCCAGAAGGGAGTGTGCAGGAGGCAGCTGATCGATGTTTCTCTCTCATCGATGTTTCTAACTCTCTATCCCTCTCCCTTCCTCTCTGTAAAAAATCAAAATATATTAAAAAAAAAAAGTTGTAAGAGTCAATCAAATGTAAACCAATGCAGATTACAAAGATACTTCTAAAATATGTTTCTTATGAGGCAGAAATGTGACAACAACAAATATATATGGAAGGTAAACAACCATAAGAATAAATAGAATTAAAAAATAAAATCTACCTAGGTCTATTTCAGGTGAATCAAATTATCCAATACACCGAAAATCATCCATAGATTTTTTTGGGCAACAAGTCCAATATTACTAGTACCTATTCATCTTTATGAACTTAAACTAGGTATTGATGAGATTGAAAGGCAAATAACATGTAGTATTTACACAGAAACCAATATAATTATAGTAAGAGATCTATAATTTAATTCAGACAAAACAAACATTTGAAATGATATATACAAAAGGAAACATGTCTTACTTCTGGTGTAAATCTTTGGAATTCAGCTATCCAGTTAGGAAGTGTAGATAATGGGCCACAGACAAGAAAAGGTCCAGGTACTCCTCTCTCAATCATCAAGGCGACTGTAGCAATGCACTGAACTGTCTTTCCCAATCCCATTTCATCTGCTAAAATGCCATTAATTCCATTTTCCCAAAGCATCTGGACAAAATAATATACACTGCATTTAAATTCTGATATAATCACCTACTGAATTAGCAATTTTTTTTACCCAAAGATAATTATGAGACTGACATATCCTATATAATAAAAGGGTAATATACAAATTGACCCTAACAGCAGAAAGACTGGGAATGACTGGTCACTATGACACACACTGACACCAGGTCAGTGCGCTCCCACGGGGGGAGCTCTGCTCAGCCACAAGCCAGGCTGATGGCTGCCAGCATAGGGGTGGTGGCAGGAGCCTCTCCCGCCTCCTCAGCAGAGCTAAGGATGTCGACTGCAGCTTAGGCCTGCTCCCCACTGGCAAGTGGACATCCCCTGAGGGCTCCAGGGCTGCTAGAGGGATGTCTGACTGCTGGCTTAGGCCCGATCCCCCCTGGGGAGTGGGCCTAAGCCAGCAGTTGGACATCCCCAAGGGGTCCCAGACTGCGAGAGGGCACAGGCTAGGCTGAGGGACCCCCTCCCCCAAGTGCACAAATTTTTGTGCACCAGGCCTCTAGTTAATACTATAAATTATAATACCTGTGGGAAGAAGGGTAATCAAAGTCATAAATGTGTTGGTAGCCTTGAATAAGATAATTTTCACTTAAAAATTTTTTTTAAATTGATTTCAAAGAGGAAGAGGAAAAGAGATATAGAAACATTGCTTGTTCCCACCGGGATTGAGCCTGCGACCCTGACATGTGTCCTGACTGGAAATCAAACTATGCCTTCCTGGATGGATCATAGGTTGATGCTCAACCACTGAGGCACTGCCAGGAGGGCAGATAATGTTCACTTTTAAATATTTTTTTTTTTGGAGAGAGAAAGGGAGGGAGAGAGAAACATCAATATGAAAGAAAACGTTTACTCTGGGTGAATAAATCAGAAAACAAATATTTACACACAAATGTTTTACATATAATAGTGAAACACGGAAGAAACAACTCAAATGATGTTACATTACATTAATTGGTTATTATATGGTAATGAATTGCTATCATGTATTAAGATTGAGAATTCATTACCCTGAGCCATTCCATGCCTTCTACTTGGTACCAACGCATCACACCGCCTGTAAAATGTTTTGGTTGCTGAAAGGGTACTGGCTGTCCATTGTATTTCCGAACTGGGTCAAAGAAGAGTTTTGTATTCTGCCTAACCGTTTGCGACAATCTATCTTTAATTATACTATTTGAGTCTTTGTTTTTCTGAAGATCTTCTACACAGAGATTAGAAGAGGAGCTTTCATCCTATAAAAAAAAAGTTTTAATTAGAAGGTTGATACACAATGCTGGTACCCTCTACTTATAAAAAAAATGTAACTGTTAATTAAAATTTACCCAGTGCTATAAGCATTAGGTATGTAGAAATAAAACCTTATGTTGAATAAAACCCTAGAGAGTTACTTCCTTTCCCCCAAATGCAAAGCTATTGGGTGGGGGGAAGACACCTTTGAAATGACTTTTACAATAGTACCTCCTTTCCAAAACTCTAAGTACTACCCAATTTAACTATTTCCTTAATAATTTCCTTCACCCACATAATATAATTGATAATGTCTATAAAAGAAGAAAAAACAATTTCCTTTCAAGGAACACAGAAACATTTATTTCAAAATAAGTAATTACTTTCATTGCAGGAAAAGGGCAAAGTAGGTAAAGTTTTAAAATTCACTATATCACACTCAAGAATGTAAATGTATCTGTGACACTCAGCACCAACTATGACCAATGATGGATTTTACTGGTTTGGGACCGCCACAACTCTACTTTAAGAATGTGAAAATGAGGATTAAGTCAATTCATAGGAAAAGTCTTATAAATGATGCCACAACTGGGCATGCAACAAGAAAAGTGAATGGACACTTTTCTGAAATGCTAAGAAATAGAATAAATGGTGAGAAAAAAAGTATACTGATGATTAAAAGGATAATAATCAGGGAAGCAAATATAACTCCTAAATTTAATACCTATTTTAAATCTCTTACCTCATTCTCCTTTTTATTTTTTTTAGCCACAGACAAAATTTCCTAGAAAATTGAGAAAACAAAATAACAATGTATATGGTTCATCCATATATTTAACCAACATTTATTGTTCTGATTTTATGCCAGGAAATGGGGATAAGGCTCTCATGGTAATTAAATAGGACTGAAATTGAAAGACCTCGGGCAAAATTAAGCCTATAGTGTCTTATAAAATTCTTAATTAGGTAACAACACATAAATTGGGATATTTACTCCTGAATTTTCCATTTTTTAAAGTTTGAATAGACGAAGTCCAAATTCACACATGGTCAACAGTCCTCTAGTATAGAGGCTGACAAACTACACCCTGTGCACCAACTCCAGCTGGCAATCTGTTTTTATAAATTTAAGTAGAACAAAGTCAGGCTCATTTGTTTACAGTGTATCTATGCCTGCTTTCGGGCTACAACAGCCAAATTCAGGGTTGAGTAGTTACCCATTAATTTGAGGCTACTACTGTTACTTAAGAATTGACTCCCAAAAGCATTATAATCTCAACTCTGGCACACTTTAGGCCTCTGTGCATAGACATCTGAATTTGCAATTCTGCGCAAGTGCCAAAGACAAATAAATTGAAAATACAGAATAAAAGAGTTCTGATTTTGAAGTTCCTACTAGATGCTAAGGGTGTGGAGACAATCATTACCTAGTGTCACCTGGAGACTTAGGCAAAGACAATCATTATCTTTCTTTAGTGATTGACCTCAGATATATTACAAACATTTGATGAATTAAATTTACAACAGTGTGATTGGCTAAAGGTCAATAGACCTCAGTAATAGCATTTTTCAACTGCAGGTTGAGTGTGTTCCATAATCAACTAAGTGGGTACTATTATTTTTTAAATGGGGGCGGAGTAAGGAAGAATATCTGTAGACAAGAATTATGTGAAATTTAAAATTTTACACTTTATGAACATGTGAAGAACTTAAATTTTTAAATTTCAGATAAAAGAAAAAGTGTGTAGCTAATAAAGTTAAAAATTTTTAATGTAAGAATGTGATGCATTAAAATATGCTTAAGGAACATTTAAGGTTTGTCATAACTGAAGATGCTCTTTTATTAATTCCTATTATGAGTACACAAGTGAGAAGGTATAAAAAGGATCTGGTTTTAGAAATGAGTATGTGATCTTAGTTCCCCCTAATGGTCTTCAAGAAGGAACAAGAACAAAATTCTTAAGGTTTTGAGGTTTCAATATATTATAATAATTTCTGACTAGGCCAAGCTCATGCTCCTTTAACAAACAGGAATATGATACCATTTTCTTCCCTCAAACACTTAACAGGCTCAAAAGCCAAGTAGGTAACCGCAATCCATTCACCTTTAATATAGTTTAAAACCCACAAAAAGTTTTTACTGAACATTGAATCTAATGTGCCCTTCCCCCTTTATTTTTACCTCTTTTGACATGACCTCTGAAATATTGTATGATTCATCTTCTCTTCCTCTTTTCTTTCTCACAACTATAAAAAAATTTCATTTTATTTTTGATAGGAATTGATGCAAAAATATAAACACATATTCTCAAAACCAGAATAAGGAAATTTACCTGGATTCTCTTCACTTGCACCAATGGAACCTTTACCCTACAGAACAAGGATTTAGAACATTATTTTTCTAAGGACTGCTATGGTATTATATATTAAAATGAAATGATTAAGTAAATGTTCCTTGCAGTTGAACCACATCCACAACTCTTTACTCTTATACTTACCAACTCATAACCTTTTTCTGTACTTTCCTGCTATAACTTATTTGTAATCAGAACCCTCTACTTTCCTCATTTTTTTATTTTACAAGAAAAATTTCAAAATTAACCATAAAAGACATTTTTATTTTGAAATTACCACGCACATCTTCTATGCTTACGCTAAAGATATTCAACTGGTATTGTATAAAAGTAGCACTCATTTTCAGTGAAATTAAAAGTTAAATACAATGAAAAGTAGAAAGAATACTGACTAAAATACTAAGAGAAGATAAGGAAGAGATGTTTAAACACAGTTTGAAACAGAGTTGGAAAAAATTAAGAACAGGTAAACATGTATGAGAAATGAAAATGACCAAAAAGCTCAATTAAATGATAGAAAAAAAGGATTAAAAATGAAAATACCAAAAGGGACTGGTGAGATGGAGTAGACAGAATTTAATAGTTTGTAACTTTAGAACAAAGCGGAGATGGGGGGACAAGGGACACACACAAAACCCTGGTAATAAAAACTTAGCTAGAAAAAAGTGAATTAAATCAACAGGCTGAAGGGTAGAGATTAAATGGTTACGCTAGTAAAATTATCTCCTATTCTACCTATTGGCATTGTGATATTTCCTAATAAAAGCAGTTTGGAATAGGAACTAAGTGTTGGGCCTGAAACTGATCCTGGCATTATTATTTATCAGATTTGTGATCTTCAGCAAGTTACAGTGAATTCTCATTCACTAGTTAGGTTCTATAAAGTCACCGCAAATAATAAATTGGTGAACACTAAACCACTGCCTCTAGGAGAGATACACGTTTAGGTTCCTGCATTTTCTAGTCATATTTTTACCAACTGATGAAATATATAACCTTGTTTTATTGTGTGTTACTATTTTATCTTAAAATATATGTTGAATAACATTGAACTCGGGGCCAAAAGCACTGTAACTATTGAAGGAAACTTTATTAACCTAGGAATTTTCTCCATTATGCACAACACAACCTTCTCACATTAGAAACACCAGAAAGCACTTTGGCACAATGTGGCTACGGGCCATTTTAAACAGCAAAATCAACAAAAATCACAGCATTAAATAGACCACGAAAAGAACACCTTTTTATAGTGTGATGGCTTAAATAAGGCAGATCACCACTTTGTTTGACCTTAGCAGGGAACGTGTGTTGGGAGATTCAAATTTTTGGCAATTCTGCACATGCATACTTATGAATGTCCATAAAAACACGAGTGTTGATTTTGGGGTTACAAATAAACATTAGTTAGTATGCTAATTTTCAAATACATAATCTGAAAATGAGGGTGGACTATAGTTAATCTCCTTGAATCAGTTTCTTTAAATGTAAAATGGAGCCCTGGCTAGTATGGTTCAGTTGGTTGAGCAATGTCCCATGCACCAAAAGGGTGCAGGTTAGATTCTTGGTCAGGGCACATGCCCTGGTTGTAGGCTGGATTCCCTGTACGAGCCATGCAGAAGGCAATGATCAATGTGTGTCTCTCTCTCTCTCAAATAAGTAAAACAGGGACGATAACAGTATCTCTACCTAAAAGCTGTTTTGAGAATTACTAACACATAAAAGTACTCACTAAATGTCACCCTCATTATTCCTCTTTTCATTAGCACAGCTGTTTTTATACATTTCGCATCATTATGGCATTAAACAGCCTCACGTTGAAACATAATCTTCAAAAAGATCACATCTAAAATTCAGGCTAGATGGACGGATGTGGCTGAGCGTCTACTTAGGAACCAGGAGGTCAAGGTTCGATTCCCTGTGAGGGCACATGCCCGGGTTGTGGGCTCAATCCATAGTAGCGGGTGTGCAGGAGGCAGCCAATTAATGATTCTCTCTTATCATTGATGTTCTCTCTCTCTACTCCTTTCCTCTCTGAAATCAATAAAAAGATAAATTAAAAATAAAAATATAGCCCTTGCCAGTTTGGCTCGGTAGATAGAGCATTGGCCTGCAGACTGAAGGGTCCCAGGTTAGATTCTGGTCAAGGGCACATGCCCAGGGTGTGGGCTCGATCCCCAATAGGGGGTGTGCAGGATGCAGCCAATCAATGATTCTCTCTCATCACTGATGTTTCTCTCTCTCTCTCTCTCTTCCTTCCTCTCTGAAATCAATAAAAATATATATAAAAAATAAAAAAATACAATTCAGGCTACCCTTAAATGAGTAATTTATCATCTGAAATATTATAAGACTATCTGGTCCACTGTCACAGCTATACATAAGCTACAAATTTTGATTATGTCCTGTTATGGCTGTAAGTTGACATGATGAGGTTGAAGACATGAAGAAGAAAGTGATCATTATTGGCTCCAAAAGTACTGGCCACTTATAAAATGCCTTGCAGTATAAAACACTTGCAGATTTTCCTCAAATAAGAAAGTAAAATTTTGCATATATGAAATATAGTCCACAGAATAAAAAACTGAAGAGGTAATACTTTTTAGAGCTCTCCTTACATATATAAAATACTGAAACAGTTTTACATGTTCCTATGAAGTTTATAACAAAGACAAATTATCAAAGTAAATATATGATCAATAAAGTTGAAAGAATACAAAAGATTTTCTTCAATATTTAAGGCAGCGGTTCTCAACCCGAGGGTCACAACCCCTTTGGGGGTGGAACGACCCTTTCACAGGAGCCGCCTAAATACATCCTGCATATCAGGTATTTACATTACGATTCATAAATAGCAAAATTAGTCATGAAGTAGCAACGAAAATAATTTTATGGTTGGGGATCACCACAACATGAGGAACTGTATTAAAGGGTCGCAGCATTAGGAAGGTTGAGAACCACTGATTTAAGGTAACATGCAATATATTCTAGATTACTATATATTACCGTAGTAACTTTGGATGATTCCTTCTTCCTCTCTAATTTCTCTTTCTTCTTCAGTTCCTATAAAATAATTTGTCTTAGTGTCACAAACAGATGCAAAGTAAAAAAAAAAACATATCTCAAATAACATGTTAAGAATAAAGAATTTTTAAAGATAAAAAATTTTGTTTAGAATCACTAATCATCCGAGAGATGCAAATCAAAATTACAATGTGGTACCATCTCACACCTGTCAGAATGGCTATCATCAACAAATCAACAAACGACAAGTGCTGGAGAGGATGTGGAGAAGAAGGAACCCTCGTGCACTGCTGGTGGGAATGCAGACTGGTGCAGCCACTGTGGAGAACAGTATGGAGCTTCCTCAAAAAGTTAAAAATGGAACTCCCATTTGACCCCATGATCCCACTTCTAGGAATATATCCCAAGAAACTAGAAACACCAATTAGAAAGGATATATGCACCCCTATGTTCAAAGCAGCACAATTCACCATAGCTAAGATTTGGAAACAGCCTAAGTGCCCATCAGTTGATGAGTGGATTAAAAAACTTGTGATATATCTATACAATGGAATACTATGCTGCAGTAAAAAAGGAGTTCTTACCATTTGCAACAGCATGGATGAAACTGGAGAGCATTATGCTAAGTGAAATAAGCCAGTCAGAGAAAGATAAATATCACATGATCTCACTCATTTATGGAATACAATGAACAACATAAACTGATGAACAAAAACAGATCCAGAGACAGAGAAGCATCGATCAGACCGTCAAACCTCAAAGGGAAGGTAGGGGAGGGTGGGGGTAAGGGGGAGTGATCAACCAAAGGACTTATATGCAAGCATATAGGCCTAACCAATGGACACAGACAACAGGGGGGTGAGGGCATGAGTGGGGGGAGGTGGGGGGTAATGTGGGGATAAGGACACATGTAATAACTTAGTCAATAAAAAATTAAAAAAAAAAAAAAAACTTGCACTTCAAGATTTCATGAAACAGGGAAAAGATTTGCCCTCCTGCCTTAAACAACTAAAATCCAGATAAAATCTATAATAATAAAACTATTATATGCTAATTAGACCAGATGTCTTGTCGGAGGGAAGCCCGGGTCCCAGGTGCCAGAGGGAAGCTAGTGCCAGCAGCCAGGGGAAGGAAGGCCTACTTTTGCACGAATTTCGTGCATCGGGCCTCTAGTATAGTAATATTAAACAACTAGAGGCCCGGTGCACGAAATTCGTGGGCTGAGTGGGGGGGGGCTGTCCCTCAGCCCAGCCTGCACCCTCTCTAATCTGGGACCCCTTGGGCAGTCGGACATCCCTTTTACAATCCAGGACTGCTGGCTCCCAACTGCTCGCCTGCCTGCCTGATTGCCCCCAATCGCTTCTGCCTGCCTGCCTGATCACCCCCTAAGCACTCTCCTGCCAGCCTGATCGACGCCTAACTGTTCCCCTGCCGGCCTGATCACCTCCACCTGCCCTCCCCTGCTGGCCTGATCCCCCCAAACTTCCCTCCTCTGCCTGCCTGGTCACCTCTAACTGCCCTCCCCTGCAGGCCCAGTCACCCCCAACTGCCCTCCCCTACAGGCCCAGTCGCCCCCAACTGTCCTCCCCTGCAGGCCATCTTGTGTGTTGGAGTGATGGTCAATTTGCATACTGGTCGTGACTAATTAGCATATCTGGTCATGACTGAGGGTATTGTGACCAATTTGCATATTACCCTTTTATTAGTATAGATCATTAGTATAGATGGTTTTCAAACAACATACAGCAAAGGACAGTGGACAATGACCAACAGGAAATAAATGAGGTGTGTTTTCTGATGACAGTTTACTGCCTGAAGGCAATTTCCAAGAGCAAATAATGGATGGAGAACCCAAACACAGCTCAGCAATCTGAGTTGAGACAGAGTGCTAGCATACCCAGGGTAAAGTAACGGAGAGAAGAGCTACATATAAAGAAAGCTCTGAAGATTAGCAGTCAAGTATTTGCTGGGCACTGATTAGTAAGAGTGTTAAGAATACCAAGGCCAGGAAAAGCCACGAGAAAGAAGCAGCTGCAACAACCTCTGCACTGCTACTGATTAGGAATAGTTTATATTCCTGTCAACCAAGTAAAAAGGCTTCAAGGTTTGTTTTTCTATGTTTCATTTTACCATACAAAGGTTTAAAAGGGGGCTACAAGCAAGGAAAAGAAAAAAACAAATTAAAAAAAAACCCTTAGCAAATGTAGTAAGAAGAAGAGAACCAGGTAAAGCGGATCAGGAGTGTGAGGGTAGAGGTGTCAAGTGATAACCTTAAAGAACTGTATGGGGAAGGAAGTCCCGATGAAAAAAATTCTTTACCCAGTAAAAATATCGTTCAAAAGTGAAATCAGCCGAAACCGGTTTGGCTCAGTGGATAGAGCGTCAGCCTGTGGACTGAAAGGTCCCGGGTTCGATTCCGGCCAAGGGCACGTACCTGGGTTGCGGGCACATCCCCAGTAGGAGATGTGCAGGAGGCAGCTGATCGATGTTTCTCTTTCATCGATGTTTCTAGCTCTCTATCTCTCTCCCTTCCTCTCTGTAAAAAAATCAATAAAATATATTTTTAAAAAAAGTGAAATCAAATTGAAGACTTTCAGACACACAAAAGCTGAAAGACCATATCACCAACAGAAATTGCAAATTAATCTAAATACAGAAAGCAGATCAATGCCTCTCTGGTGATGGAGAAGTGAGGGAGGAAGATAGGAAATGAGGTATGAAAGAGAATTAAAAAGGGGCAGGAATTCAGCCATGAAAATGTATAAAACCTTGCCATTCGTGACAACCATATATGGACCTTGACGGCAGTATGCTAAGTGAAACAAGTCAGACAGAGAAAGATAAATCCATATGATCTCACTTATGTGTGGAATCTTAAAAAACAAAAACCACATTGATATAAAGAACAGATTGGTAGTTGAGGGGGAGGAGGAAATGGGTGAATAAGGTCAAAAGGTATAAATTTCTAGTTATAAAATAGACTACACTTAATATTGTACTGTATATGTGTAAGTTACTACAAGAGTAAATCTCAAAAGTTCTCGTAAGAAAGAAAATTTTGGCCCTGGCCAGCATGGCTCAGTTGGTTGGAGCACTATCTTATACACTAAAAGGTTGTGAGTTCGATTCCTAATCAGTGCACATACCCAGGTTGTGGGTTGATCCCCAGTCGGGGTGTGTATGGAAGGTCGATGAACTTTGGGGTGTGTAACTGCTCGATGAACATATCCTCGGGTGAGGATTAAATGAAAAGGAAGAACATTTTGTTAACTATGTATGGTGATAGATATTAACTAAACTTATTGTGGTGTTCATTTTGCAATATATAAATAGTATGTCATTATGCTGTACACTGGAAACTAATATGTCAATTATACCTCAAAGGGGGACAGGCAGGAATAATTTTTTGCAGTTGATGATTATGTTAATTATCTTACTTGTGGCCTCATAGGTGTACACATATGTAAGTCAAAACTTAGAAAATTATTCATTTTAAGAATGTGCAATTTTATCCATGTCAGTTATATCTCAATAAAGCAATTAAGAAAGTCAACAACAAAATTCACAATTTCCAACATCCAAAAAAATCACTCGACAGGACAAGTCAGTTAACAGGTGAATAGAGAATAAATGGTGGTATAGTCATATAATAGAATGTTTCTCGGGAATGAAAAGAATGACCTACTGAGTAAACATAAGTGAATCTCAAAAATATGCTGAGCTAAAGAAGCAAGACACAAAGAATATTTACCATACGACTCCATTTATATGAAATTCTAGAAGAAAGAATATTAATATATAGTGACAGAAAACAGAATCAGTGGTGGCTGTCACTGAGGAATAGGGATTACTCAACAAGAGAACTTTTAAAAATGACAGAAATGGTTTTTCATCTTGATTGTGCTGACAGTTACACAAAACTATACTTTGGTCAAAAGTCATCATCAATCACATATACATACCTCTAATTGTTGTTGTTCCATTTTAGTCAATAAAAATTTAGAGTAGATATTGCTTTTTTCAAGCAAATGTTGAAGTCTACGGTACCGAATGTCCACGGACTCTCTATCCCAGGACTTGTGAGCCTATCCAAAGGAAAAGCTTCCATAATTATTGTCATACATTGACTTTTTGCATAAGGTGTAACAACACTGGCTAAACAAATGTTTAGATTTAATATACTTCATGTAACTAATGAAAATTTTAAAAGAATATTAAATAATTTACTAAAAAGATTTTATTTTCTAAACCAAAAACTAGAATAGCTGAAAAAATATGATTCTTGGGCTCAACAGGCAATCTGGTAATATGAAAGCATGGATACCAAAATATTGAAATTTCAGACACTGGACATGTAGTTACTGTCATTTACTAAGTTGAGGGTCCCTTTAAAAATACTTGCAATTAAAGTTAGAAAGTGAGTATTTAATTCTAGTTGGAATTTAGTGTTTAAAAAATCAAATAAAAAAATTTATATACGTTTTAATTGAAAGAACATTAGAATTACAAAATAATGCCATTGGTGAAGGAATAGAACATTTCAGAATCGTAAAACTGTGTTGTTAAAATATTGGAACGTGTTAAATCTACTGATTTCTTTCAAGCCTTTTCTCTATCCTCCTGCAGCATTGTGTTCCCCAGTTTTCCCCTTATTTTTTAGTTTTCTTTTACTTTATCGTTCACCTCTGTACAACTTCTGATTTCAAAGTTCTACTTTATTGCTTTTTAAATTACTGCATATTACTTTTGCATACCATTTGTTGAGTGATTTCTAAGCATCTACAATAGTGGATTCACAATGATAAATGTTTAATATTTTAAAAGAACAGCACAAGACAGAAAACATAAAGGCAACAAATACGATAGTTCAGTGGCCCACACACTTTTTCTGTGAAAGGCCAAAACATAAATATTTAAATATTTGAGTATCATATGGTTTTTACCACAAATACTCAATTATGCCTTTTTACATAAGAGCAGTCATGTACAGTATGTTAATAATGAACATAATTGTGTTTCAATAAAACTATTTAGTCAATAGGAACAGGTCAAATGCAATTCATAATTTGCCAAGCCAGTATAATCTGAATTCAAAGTAAAGCATTAGGTGGGCTGAAGTGAAACAATTGAGAGTTGACTTCACCTATTGAAACCAAATATATGCAAATCCTACCAACCATCAATTCCACTCCTAAGACAAATAGTGAGCGAGTGTGTGAGATGGACCTAGGTAGCATAATTTAATTAATTTTAATTTAATGGTTAAAGCTTGACCTTATAAATCAGGCATCACTGAATATTGGCTTTTGCATTTCCTAGATCTCTCTAGAGCAGCTGTTCTCAACCTGTGGGTTGCGACCCCTTTGGGGGTCGAACGACCCTTTCACAGGGGCCGCCTAAGACTATCGGAAAACACATATATAATTACATATTGTTTTTGTGATTAATCACTATGCTTTAATTATGTTCAATTTGCAACAATGAAAATACATCCTACATATCAGATATTTACATTACAATTCATAACAGTAGCAAAATTACAGTTATGAAGTAGCAACAAAAATAATTATGGTTGGGGGGTCACCACAACATGAGGAACCATATTAAAGGGTCTCGGCATTAGGAAGGTTGAGAACCACTGCTCTAGAGTTTCTCTCAAAATAAATTTATTCTCTATTACAAAACCAATGACAATAAGACACTTATGGATAAAAATAACCAAAGTAACACATTACACAAAAAATATTTTAAAATCGCCCATAATCTTACCCATGCAGTTAATCTGTTAATATCTTATCAAACTCAATTTCAGTTCTTTTAAAACAGCCTTTCTTTTACTATTACCAATATACTACCGTGATTACCACAGGCAGTCAATGAATGAGGTGGGTCTTACAAATGGGGAGATGAAATTACTTAGGACTTTATAAAATGAATTCTTAAATTTTTAACTTTATATATTTGTTTAAAAATTTAGTGAAAAGTATTCTGAGCTTAATTTACATATATTTGCTAGCTTAAATCCTGTTCACAATAAATTAGCAGCCATTTTTTAAAATTGAAGCTTTAAGGCGGAACCGGTTTGGCTCAGTGGGTAGAACGTCAGCCTGCGGACTCAAGGGTCCCGGGTTCGATTCTGGTCAAGGGCATGTACCCTGGTTGCGGGCACATCCCCAGAGCGGAGCGTGCAGGAGGAAGCTGATAGATCTCTCTCATCGATGTTTCTAACTCTCTATCCCTCTCCCTTCTTCTCTGTAAAAAATCAATAAAATATATTTTAAAAAAGAAAATATTATAAAAAATAAATAAAATTGAAGCTTTAAGATGCCATCATGAACAATTTACAATTAATGTAATTAGAATACTATGACAATGGTTAACCTTTAAACCCAGTCTTAAATATTTCAAAATAATTTTGCAGCAAACCTTATCATTCCTTTTTTAAAAATATTTTTTATTGATATTTTACAGAGGGGAAGTGAGAGGGATAGAGAGTTAGAACCATCGATGAGAGAGAAACATCGATCAGCTGCCTCCTACACACCTCCTACTGGGGATGTGCCCACAACCAAAGTACATGCCCTTGACCGGAATTGAACCTGGGACCTTTCAGTCCGCAAGCCAAAGCTCTATCCACTGAGCCAAACCGGTTAGGGCTCATTACTTTTTCTTGACTTAACTTTATTATGTTATAGTAAGGTGAGAACACGGCAGGGAGTGAATCTCGAGTACAGTGAAAGTGTATGCTAACAAGAGACCAAAGGCATCAATAAAATAAATTCCCTTTGTCTACCCCACAATCTCTCCCAACACAACCCCCGATTTTGGGGGTGGGAGGAGTTATATTTCAGTCTACACAATATAAACTATTTTCCTTTTACCTCTACCAAGATATCACCTTTTCCCTCCCCCACTTCAGCACATTAACTGCTACACTTAAGTATTCTAGACTAACAATGGCTTCTTTCTAAAGGAAATGCAGGTTAAAATCAAAAGAAAATAACTGTAGCACATGAATGTCAAAGTCATTGTCCAGGCTCTTTACAAACGTTAAAATCTCCTAAAGCAAAGTAAATGCTTCTCATTAAGATTTAGGCTGGCTCTTCCTCTCGTAAGTATATTCTTCTAAATATATGCCCATAAATACTGTATTCTCTGGAAAGGAAAAAGATCTTTACTCTTCTACAGTGAGGTTTTTGGCCTCCAAAGACTTGTAGGTAGAGACTCATTCTTATAACTTTCTCCCAAATCACATAGAAAACAATTTATAAATGTCAAGTGCAAAAATTAATCAAACTAGTTCAATACTTGCATAAAAAGACAACATAGTAACAATGGAGCACAATACAAGGCTTTTAACAAATTATACCCTTGTATTAGGATTAAAAAGAACTATGTGCTTTATTCATGGAAGAACTTAAAGTGGATTAAAAATTGCTATTTTAATTGTATAACTGCTTTTAAAAAAGAGCTAGCTGTACTATACTTATCTCTCAACAACAATTCTAAAAAAAGTTTAGAACTAATTGCAAAATGTTCAAAAGTTTAAAAATATCACTGGAAGCAGAAATCATTTTGATTGCTAGTTTCATCAGCTAATACTCATGGTACTAAAATTTTGACAGCTTGTTTTCCAATGTAAAAATGTTTCTTCCTCTTACTATGCATTCTGGGAATGCATTCTTATTGTATTCCTTGAAATGATAGTTCCTTACCCAACAATCTTTGTAAAACTGAAGATACATACTATACAAAAGTGAAGGATTGATCACTCTTACAACATCTGAAGTTGATACTATCTATTTTGGACACTTGTCCCAGGATTCCTCCTGTAAAATGTACCTGATAAGTATATTTATTTCACTTACATAATCTATTATCTGTGTTATGTGATAAATTACAAAATATTCTTTTACCATACTTAGAAATTCAATAAAATTTACTGATTGCCACATGCAGAGTCTACAAAAACGAAAGTGATGTGCCCTCAATAGACAAAGTGAGAAAGAGTCAAGTAAGTGATTTTAAAAATACTATGGAAATTCAGAGAATGAGGAAAGGTGGTTGGTTCAAGATCAAGCTCCCAATTCTATTAGAACCTGTTAACATATTACCTTAACCGACTCTGGTCAACTATGGATAATCAGAACGGCGAAGCCTGTTACTGGCATGCAAGTGCAGCATGGTCTGCCATTTATTGGCAGCGGGGACCCAGGCAACCTGCAAGTGCCGGTTTCCTCATCCCGAAAATGAGGCGAGAACAGAACCTACCTCACAGAGTATTTGCCTTTGGAGGCCACTATTTCCCAGGATAAGTGGTTTTGCAATGACATGGAGTTAGTTCAATACTAACGTGTATTTCCCTGGAGGGGGATAGGGTTAAGGACAAGAGCGCTGGAGCCACACCCAGTTCAAATCCGAGTTCGTTAGTGTGTGGCCCCCACCACCGGCTCGGTCTTATGTAAATGGAGGTAGCAGACCAGGGGGAGCGCCAGGTGAATCATAGCGAGAAAACAACTTGGCAGGGGGTCGGCCGCAGCTGGTGGCTGGCTACTCTTTTTCTTGCTTATGCAATAATTAAGCAGCAGGGCGGGACTTTCTCGTCGGAGTGAAATGTATTTCGGAACTGAATTTTCAAGAGGCTAAAAACTTCTTTTAGTGGCCGACAACATAGATACTCTGTACGTGAAAACCACCAGGAGAATAACTTAGGGGAAAAGCACACCACACTTTTCCCTGCAGAGTCTGAAGCGGTCGCCCAAAGTACCAACAAGCAAGCGGATCGCTTTCAGTGGTTCTCAACCTTCTGGCCCTTTAAACACAGTTCTTCATGTTGTGACCCAACCATAAAATTATTTTCGTTGCTACTTCATAACTGTCATGTTGCTACTGTTATGAATCGTCATGTAAATATCTGATATGCAGGATGGTCTTGGGCGACCCCTGTGAAAGGGTCGTTCGACCGCCAAAGGGGTCGCGACCCACAGGTTGAGAACCGCTGGCTTAAGTGGCAATCAGCCCTGAAAAAGCACTCCCCATCGACTCTGGGAACATTAAAACGCTAACCCAGCAATGCGAAAGGCTCTCACAAGAGAGAGGGGGCCACGCTGGAGGCCAGAACGACCTCCCAGCAGCATCATTCGGAGCACGTGCCAAGGTTCCCCACAGATAAGCATCGTAAACACACGGAGGAGAGACAACGAGACCCGCTTAAAGCTGACGAGGCCGGTTGGTCCACGGACCCAGACCCCCGCTGCGGAAGCGCCGGTCACCGCCGGCTCACGGGCCGACCCCGCGTTACCTTTTCCAGCATCTGCCGCTCCCTCGCCAGCCCCGCCGCCTCCAGCTGCTCTTCCTCCTCCAGCATGGCCGGGGTGATGACCGCGGGCTCCGGCTGGGCGGCCCCGCCGGGGGCGCGGCACCCTAGGAGGGGAGAAGGCTTCCAAGTGGCGGTTTTGAAAAGATGACCAACTACTCAACTTCCCTATAAGAGCCTTTCTCTCCTTCCCAGACCCACTCGAGGGAAACGCTGGTGACACGCGGAGAGGCCGGCATCCGCTCGGGAAGAGACGCCCTCCGTCTTCAGTGTCAACAAGTTGCCTGAACCCCCGTTTACAAGTCGGGGCGGTGGGGAAAGAAAATGCGGCTCCCGCGTGTAAAACCCCCCCGTGTCGTGCAATTACGCGCAATCCCGGGCACCCTCCACTCACTCCGCACAGCTTCTTCCCCCTCGTTTCCTCCTCAGCCTCTGCCCGGGGTCAGCTCTTCCCCCAAAGCCGGGCTGGGCTGCAGCTTCCATGCTGCGGCCCCCTCTGCCCGGGACGCCGCCGCTCGCGCCCAGAGGAAGGTGCTCCTCACTCACCGTCGCTGCTCGCGGGCTGCTGCGCCGGCATGGCTGCGCACTCTCCGGGGCCAGGTCCCCTCCTCTAAGAAGCTGCAACGCCGCGCGCCGTCCCCTCAGCCGCGGCCGGTCCCGGTCCTCTCCACAAATCCCGGCCAAAAAAAAACGCGCGCTTCACTTTCGCGGGAAAACACCGTCATCTCGCGATACTTCGTGCTCCTCGTCCCGCCCCCGCCCCCAGCGGCGCGAGATTTGGCGCGGAGAATGCACCTGGCTGCTGGTTAGCGTTCCCTGGGACCTCCGTCTCGGGCCGCTGGGTCCTGCCGCGGAAGTCGGCGTTTCTTAGCCGCCCGGTGGTTCTGGGCGAGCCTGCCCGCACGGAGAGCCGCGTCCTCACGCGCCGGATGGGCCTTCAGTGGCGCTCTTAGCCGTTTGCAAGGCACCTTCCCGCCCCGGCTGATGGGATTAAACCCCGCCAGCCGCCGATCCTTAGGGCCTAACGATGGGTGCCCAGGTGAGGGTGTCAAACAAATATTGCCAAGCTCGCCCGCCGTCCGCCCCTCACATTTTGAGTTAAAATTCCCCGAAATAACCAAGAAAAGGGCTCTTTTGTCAGTGGGAGAGAAAAATAGTAAATTAAGGTTATGGTGGAATTTGAGAAAGTTGTTTCAGGATAAGGGAGACCTGGATGCTGTGATAAATCGAGCGTTGTGGCCGGTAGGAAAGAGTCAGTCATTCAATACACCAGTAATGAGCGTGGCGCCCACAGGAAAGCGCAGGGCTCCGCTTGTCTGTTTTTTTGTTTTGCTTTTTCAGCCTTCAAGCACGCCCTCCCCCTGTAGTCTGCAGTCCCTTTCCACAAGTTCCTGTTTCCCTCCCCCGCCTCAGAATGTGTGGCATGCCTGCCATACCATTTCTGACTCCAACAACTTCAGTAACTGTATTTGTACAAAGTTGAAGGATTTACAATGCACAGCTATCAGAACCATCTTCAGCAACCTTCACAACACGTGGAGATTAGCAGAGATTACTTTTATTCCTACACTGTCGTGAAAAAAACTGATGCTCAGAGAAAAACTGGCTTGCCCAGAAACCTTGCAGTTACTTTTGGATAAAACAGGACTTAAACCCAGTGTTTTAAAAATGTTTTATTGAATTTATTGGGATGATATTGGTAAATAAGATTGTTTCGAATGTATAATTCTATAATACATCATCTGTATATTGTATTGTGTTCACCATCCAAAGTTGTCTTTCTCCTAGTTCAGTATTAAGATAAAATGTAATCTCAATAATTACTCTTAAATCCTACCTCCTTCTATTCAAATACAATTAAATATCAGTCTCACTCTACATCAGATTTTCTTTTTAAAAAATTTTATTTCAGAGAGAGGAAGGGAGAGAGAAACATCAATATGAGAAACATTGATTGGCTGCCTCCCGCATGCACTGGGATGGGATCGAACCTGGAACCTGGGCTTGTGCCTTGATCTGAAATCAAACTCCCCACCTTTTGGTGCATGGACAGCGCCCCAACCAACTGACCCACACCGGCCAGGGCTACATAAGATTTTTGACCTTCACCAAACCATCCTCCAAAATTTCTTCCTCCCTGACTTTTGAAACACTGCTTTTTATGTCTTCCTCTTCTAAAAATCCTTTTCATATTAGTGACTTCACCATCCATCCAATCATAGAAGTGGAAAAAAATCCAAACAAAAGGAACACACACACACACACACACACACACACACACACACACACACACACACTGCTCCCTCTAGCTTAAATTAGATGACTCCACTTTTCCACTTTCTGCCTACCTCACAAACTAAACAATATTTACAAGACAGACTTTCAGATTCTCGAAACCAAATTTACAAATCTACCTGCATCTGAACACCTTTGCCACTTTCCCTCCGGTTTTGCTCTGGATCCATCTCCCTACAGCCTATGCAAGAATCTTAGATTACACATTATCCCATTCTCTATTTAAGCCTTTACTGAATACTTTCCATTCACATTTAAATACTCAAAACTCTTCCATCTTAAAAAAGTTAAGAGACAACCTCCTTTATTCCCACCAGCTATTTATTACCTGCTCCATTCCCTTTTACAGTTAACTTTACAATTATCTACATTAGCAATCTTTCATTCCCCTGCCTCCCACTGATTGTTCAATCACATGTCTGGCCACCCCACTCAATACTCACCCAGGTAAATAAGGAAATCAATTATCTACATCAGCGTTCGCCAACGTTTCAGACCTCACGGACCACCAGTGGTCCACAGACCACCGGTTGGCGACCGCTGCTCCAAATATTTCCTTAAACCAGCGGTCACCAACCTTTCGGACCTCACAGTGGCTGGTTGGCGACCGCTGATCTACATGATGCTAAGTTTAATGGACATCTTTTAGTCCTCATCTCAACCTCATTGCCATATAACACCATCAATCACTCCTTTAGGAAAAACACTTGTTCCTTCTGACACCACATCCTTCTGATTCCTATTTCATTCTCTTCTACTCAACCTTTAAACATTTGAGTTGAGCCCTAACCGGTTTGGCTCAGTGGATAGAGCGTCGGGCTGCGGACTGAAAGGTCCTGGGTTCGATTCTGGTCAAGGGCATGTACCTTGGTTGTGGGCACATCCCCAGTGGGGGGTGTGCAGGAGGCAGCTGATGGATGTTTCTCTCTCATCGATGTTTCTAACTCTCCCTCTCCCTTTCTCTCTGTAAAAATTCAGTAAAATATATTTATAAAAATAAAAATTTGAGTTGAATTTCTGGCTAAGTGCATAATGTCTCTAATAGAAATACTCTAAATAAAGGGAAAGTTCACTGAGGAATGGCCAAAATAATAGCCTACTCATCCATTCCATCATGGGTAGTGAGTGCCCAGTACTATATTGGGCACTAGCAATTCAGTGGTTTAAAAACCAAGCAAACCAGCGTTTCTGACCTCAGAATTTATGCTATAGTGGAAACAATACAAAACAACTATAGAAAACAATGTCAGCTAGTGATAATAGGTACTGTTACCGGACAGGGGACCTGGCCCTGTGTGGGTTTGCCTAGGGTTAGCCAGTAGTGAGTAGATACTTTGTGTAGGAAAAATTTCACAACACAAGTCCAGGTGACTATGAGTGTATGTTTATTAAAGCTGGGGACAGTAAAACATGAAAGGGCCTAGCATAGAAGCAGCAACAGGTAAGTGCTAGGCTGGGCTGCCTTAGCTCTCTGGGAAGTCAGAGAAAAGGGGGCGTTGAGGACAGGTTCAGGGGATTAGCCTGGGATGAGCTGTTGCTGCCTCTTGTGCTCCCTGGTTGCAAGTCTTGGTGGGGACTCGTAAGAGTTTAGGTTTAGGAGATGCATGCCTGTGGGGGAAGAAGAGGGAAAAGGGAATGATTCAGGCTGCTTGCCAAAGGGAGAGCCCGTGCTGGTCCTTTGTCTAGAGGATTTTCTTTCTTTTTTGCAGGCGGGAATCTTAGGGGAGGTCTTGGAAAGGTTTTAGCAGAATATTAATCAGTTTTCCAGGTGTGTTCTTTACTGATTGGTCAGTGCCAGGGCAGTGGTTGTTAAGTCATTGTAGTCGAGGGGGGTGGGGTGGGGTGGGGAGGTGGTTTGCTCCTTTTCTAGGCCTGGAGCTGTGTGGGTCTGCCTAGGGTCAGCCGGTAGTGAGTGGAAAAAACAAACTGAGGCCTAGATGTTTTCTCTAAGGAGGTGACCTTCTATATCTGGCTATAAATTGCTCAGCCAGTTTGTTCAGCTATTTGTCTCAGTTTCCCCATTCCACTTCTCCTGGCTTACTGGCTTGGCTCAATACTATAAGGAAATATGAAGCAGAGTAAGGTCATAAGAATGATAAATGGATATTTATATAAAACTTAACTCTGAGTAAGTGACATTAAGCAGGGACCTGAATGAAAGAGAATATAAGTCGTACAAAGACCTAGGCAAAGAACACTTTAGAGGAAACTGCAAGAGTAAAAGTCCTAAGGTAGATAGGAGGTTAGCAGATGGAGAAATGACAATAAATAAATTAGGTCTACAATTGAGTTAATGAGGTTGAGTAGTAGTTGGAATTGTAGAGAGAGGCAGAGGCCAGAACAGATAGGACCTTATTGAGTAGGATAAAGAGTGGATTTTTGTTATAAGGAGTGCCACTGGAGGGTCTTAAGCAAGGAAATGATAGGATTTATGATCTTTTCAAAGATCATAAAACATGCCTAATTAAGTTTGATGAGAATTGCTTACTTTTCATGGGTTTCCATAAGTGGTTTTAAAAATAGAATAATAAGAAATATTAAAACAAATAATGAGAAATTAATTACCTTATTGCAGTACAATTTGTTTAAAAATCACTTAGTATATTAAGAATAGAACACTTTTGCCCTAACCGGTTTGGCTCAGTGGATAGAGCGTCGGCCTGTGGACTGAAAGGTCCCAGGTTCGATTCCAGTCAAGGGCATGTACCTTGGTTGCGAGCACATACCCAGTAAGAGATGTGCAGGAGGCAGCTGATCGATGTTTCTCTCTCATCGACGTTTCTAACTCACTATCTCTCTCTCTTCCTCTCTGTAAAAAATCAATAAAATATATTTAAAAACAAAGATGTAAAAAAAAAAAAAAGAATAGAACACTTTCAAACACTTTCCAGTTTTTCTCGTTAGTCTAAACATAGCACTCAAAGCCTTTTACAATCTACAAAGATTGTAAATACTTCCCTTTCAAAGTTTAAGAATATAGATGCTAAAATTAAAAGCCATGTGATTTAGGTGATAATCAAAATACATCAACTACTTTACAATATTGATTATCAATACTGCCTAGACCAGAAAAATTTAAAGTTTTACTTTCTGCTTTTATAACACCACTATGCAGAGTATTATGTCGGCAGATGAGAATGAGAACAAATGTATATATACACCATTGTTGTCAATTTTATGTATTGAGTCTGTATTTATCATTTACATTTTTGTTACAAAAGTGATTTTCCAAATACATTACAATAGTACAAGTTATTTTACCTTAAATAAAATCATGGAACTAATGTTTACTTAAATGTGCAACAAATCAAACACTTTTGCAAATGCAATTTTTTAAAAATTCAGACTTCCTGGGGTTTATTAGAAAATAAACCCAATGCACAGAATGAAATA